TTAGGTCAAGAGTTTAAGAGCAGCCTGGCCAACATGGCAAAATGACGTCTCTACTAAAAATACGAAAATTAGCTAGATGTGGTGGTGCACGTCTGTAATCACAGCTACTCATGTGGCTGAGGCACAAGAATCACTTGAACTTGGGAGGTGGAGGTTGCAGTGATCTTAAATCGCACCTCTGCACTCCAGCCTGGGCAACAGAGCAAGACTCAGTCTCAAAAAAATAAATAAAAATAAATAAAATTAATATTGGAATCAAGAAAAATAATATAATCTATCAAGGTGAGCAGATAATATATGAGGGGGATATGAAAAGAGAAAATTAATATTTAATGAACAGCTACTATGCCCCATAGGTGGTACCAGTAGACATTTTTACAAGTCATCTCATTTTATTTAATAACAAGCCTACTTGCTGTGACTTGTTGTGACAGGTGACTCTTAATGTCACTTAATAGAAAAGGACACGGAGGCTCAGAGTAGGCAATAATCTGCCCAAAGTTTTTAGTCACCTGTTTAAGACTGAAGGCAGGGATCCTGTCTTTGTATCCACACTGCCAAGTGAACTGAGGAGATTTCACAACTGTCAATTTTGATGTGTCTCCTATTTTACTTAACAGTATCTCATTTATCCTGTTATCCCATGTCATGAATGAGGAAACTAGGCTTAGACAATAGGGGTACAAACTTGCTGAAAGTCATACTGCAAGTAGGCAGAGAAGCCAGAGTTTGTATGCAGTTTCTTCTGACCGTATAGCTCACATTCTCAGCTCCTGAAATACACAGGGAGTCAGGATTCAAGCCCAAGGCTTCCTAACTTTCCACTACGTCATAGCAAAATAGCTCAATTCCTATTTTGCTTTTGTATTCACTGACAGAGGAAAGAGAGTCAGAAGACTGACTGCAAAGAACATATTCAGCTGCTACAGAAAATAAGTTGAAATCTCATGGATACAATAAATTCTGTCTAACTGAAGAAAGAAATTTTAAACTGAGATTACCAAGATTCCTTTTTGAGATCACTGAAAATCCACAGAAAATAGAAATCTGTCCAAAGAAAAGAAACAGAGTAAATGTCATCCTGATTTGTCAAAAGGAAAGAGATGAAGGTTTCCATGTCATGAGAGAAACACACTAGAACCAGGTGGCACCAGGGGAGACTGTGGAATTTAGAAAAATGCTGGAACAAGCAGGAGTGTGAGAAAGACCTGACTGCAGAGTGCAAAGGTTGGAAGGACCTGTCAATTCAAGGACAGTTAATTCATGGCGGGAAAAAGGAGGAGGATGGAGTGAGATAGGGAATAATGGGATAATATATCAGCATCAATTCCTCAAGCCCCAAAGGCCCACCCACAAGTGCGGTGGTGTTACACAGATATGTTGCATTGCTATAGTTTGGTTTTGTTCCCTCCAAACCTCATGTTGAAATGTGAACCCCAATGTTGGAGGTGGGGCCCAGTGCAAGGTATCTGGATCATGGGGGTGATCCCTCATGAATGGCTTGGGGCTGTGCTTGATTCATGAATAAGTTCTCGCTCTATTAGTTATAGTAAGATTTGGTTGTTTAAAAAAAAGCCTGGCCACCTCCGCCCCCTCTGGCTTGTTCTTCTCTCACCATTGACACACATGCCCCTCCTTTGCCTGTCACCACGATTATAAGCTTCCTGAGGCCCTCACCAGAACCAGATGCTAGTGCCATGCTTCTTGTACAGTCTGCAGAATCGTGAACCAAATAAACCTCTTTTCTTCAATAAATTACCCAGCCACAAGAATTCCTTTATAACAACACAAAATGGACTAATACATGCATGGTGGTGACGTCTGGGCTTTCAGTGTACCCATACACAATAGTGTACACTGTACCTAATAGGTGGTATTTTATCCTAGTTAAACAATTTTAATCAGTGACTTAGCATATTTAGGTAACAGATGTCATAAAGACAGAAGACACAGTGAATAAGGTAGACACGAATCAGGGATAAACAATTCCACAGGAACACACACCAAGTCCTACATTTAGATTAAAAAGCAAACTGTGAAACAATAGGAAAGCCAGGCATGGTGGTAGACACCTGTAGTTTCAGCTACTTGAAAGACTGAGGTGGATCACTTGAGCCCAACCCAGGCAACATGGCAAGGCCCTGTTTGTTTAAAAAAGAAAAAAGAAAAGAAATTTGCAGCAATATGCAGAAAGCTCAATTAGAAGCCAGCTATAATCACAAGCTTAATATAAGCTGGCAACGTCATGCTACAGCAAGATATGCTCATAAGACTTTTCCTTTAAGAAACCTAGAGGCCAGACAAAGGAATGAAAAAGTCAACTCTAAGCTGCACTGGGCTGACCAGGCTCAGGGCATTCTGTTCAGATATAGATGTCATATTAGAAGACCAATGGACACATCCAGAAGATACTGAAGGCTTCAAAACTAACAAATGAAAAAAGCTTGACAGAACCCAGAACTTGGTCTGCAGGAGAAAATGCATCATGACACCTGGTAGGCTAGATTCAGAAGGTAAATGGGCTAGTTCATTCTGTACAAGACTTTAGTAATACCAGAAAACTTCACATAAGAATCTGGATTTCTGTTTATCTTGGGGGTTGGCAGGGAGAAAGTCTGGGGATAACTTAATGAAGAGGGGAAGCCAAAGCCCCATTTAATAGGAACCAGTCTACATCCTATTGTCTGACCCCTGGCTTTCAGACCTACTATAAGTGAGGCTATGAGCATGTGAATTGCAACCACTGTTGTAGAGAAAAAGTCAAAGGGTGAACACAAAAGCTATGTTCTAAGACCTGAAAGGTTATGTCTGGGCTAGAGATACACTAAGAAATTATTCTGGGGAGAATAAGTACAAAAGGTACAAGGTATAGAGAGGTTCAACATAAAAAAGAACTTCCTAACAAAAATGGAACAAGCTGCCTGTACATATGACTTTTCTTCACTGAAAAAGTGTCTCAAAGTAGACTAATTCACTAGACTAAAGAACTAGAATACATAACCCAAAACATCCTTTCCAAATCTGGGTTTCTCTGATGTTTTCGTATTCTAAGTTTTATTATCTTCAGTACTGTCTACGATGGACAGCACACTGGGCTGAGCCCTGCATACTTTTTGTGTAAGAAAAGCACTGGCTTCATAGTTAGACCATAGGATTTATTGATTCCATGTCAACTAAATATAGGCTCTCACAGTATTACTATCTGATCCTCTCAGGCACATTAATTCACAAAAAATAAGAGAACCCTATTATTTAATTAGCCGTCAGATGTAAGGGCTACTTCTCCCTTGCAGTCATTCCAAGTTACAGTGAGGGAATCACAAGGAGGCCTCATGGCATGACGGACAGAAAACCTGAATACGCAATGTGCTTGAGGAAACTGCATAATCTTTCTATACCTCAGTTTATACACCCATAAAAAGGGGTGGGGGAGGCAGAGGAGGGCATAAAAATTTAGCCATGTCTATTTTACAAGACTGTTGTACAAATCAAATTAAATAATGCATGCGAAGGTGCTCTGACAATTAGACAGCACTATATACATGGAAGACTTTTCAATATAAAACAGAGATCTACTATGCATTACTTCCATTTTCTGAAATAAGTTCTGCTTCGTTGGCATAACAATCCATATCAGTCTAACTACTCACCCAGTGATTCACATATCCACCTATTTATCTACCTTTCCATCTCTATTTCAGACCTCACTTTTCCAAAGCCTGCCATGTTAAAGCATAAGCCAGGATTCACCAGTGTGGTACCAAAGTGCTCTAAATGTGAAGTAGAGCTCAATGACTGGCCCCACATACCTAGGGGAATAGGGAGTACAGCTACTAGTAAGCCCCACTGGCAAGGCATCAAAGCTCCTTTCAGTTCTGAGCTGAAAAGTGAACTTTGGGTTTAATTCCACTCAGCCTTACTTAGGCTGTGGAAGATCCTCCATGCCTGTCAGGTCTCTGGAAGCTTGCCTGCCCCTACTGGATTGAACCCATGAAACTGCTGTTTTAAGCATTAAAAACCATCAAAAAACTTGGCTATGGTTCAGCCTATATCTTGCAAATTCCAAATGTATTAATTTAATTAAGGAGAGAAATTAGATCGCAAAGGTTATCAGCCTCATCCCAGTAAGGCATAGAAGATCAATCTCTTGCCAAATTAATGTTTTACTTTTTTATTTTATATTTAGACAGGGTCTTGCTCTGTTGCCCAGGTTAGAACAAATAAATGTTTTAAATTTGAAATTCTTCTTACTGGCTCACTAGGAGATAAACATTTATTCTTTCCTACATTAGGTGCCGCATATGTCACTCAGAAAAGAGCTACACCAGTTTGGCTCAAGCATCCATTTTTATAGACGAATAATGTATCAACAACAGGAGCATGGAAGTGTTACCTAAAACTTCAGTGCCATGAAAGCACCCAAGTCCCCGATAAAAAGGAAGATCCATGGTTATAACATGTACGAGGAGTCAGGAAAAAAGTGTTTCCAGAGATGTTCCAAATGGAGAGATGAGAGTTAATTTGCCTTTTAGGCAAATTTTAGAATGTTAAGCTATTTCCTAGCAGTGAAAGCTCATCAGTACCCTGAATTTGATTATTTATTACAGGTTACTTCCACTTTGAAGTCTGAGCTTGCCTATGCAGTTTGAACAGATCTATACTATAGTTCTTTAAGAATCCTTATATAAATATAAGTTTTTAAGCTATATAAAGATTCACACAAACCAGGCTTATATAAATGAAATTACTTTATAATTAAATTTTAGGAAAGAAAACTGTAGGGCTTTAGGCATTAGCATTCCTGGCTATTTAAAATGTAATAGATTTCTATCACAAATAAATTTAAATGTACTTATTACTTTTAATAGGCAGTAATGGAAATTAACATATATATATGTGGGTGATATAACTGATACTGCAAAACTTTTTTAACAAATATGAAGAGAAAATGAGATAGAGTGTTAACTGAATGACAAATATATCCACAATAATTTGCTTACCTGTAATACAAATTTCTGATCTATATATTTTTTGGCAATGCTGGGTTGGAATTCTTGGCTTTCCAAAAATCGTATGAAAAATTCATATACAAGCTGCAACAAACAGATCATAGTTAATTTCAAATTATGATTCACTGAGAATAGTACTAAAAACCACCAAAAGCCTGTAACACTAAAAGTGACAAGGCTTAGAAAACTGATTTTAATATCAATCAACAAATCAGGGCAGCCTTTCTTGTGGCTCACGGTTGCTATCATGCTTTCAACTTTTAAAATTTTTAATTAGAAAACACAACCAAACAAAGCAAAGAAAAATTTCCCATAATCTTACCATTCAGGGACAACCACGGTTAACATTTTAATGTATATATCTCCTTCAACAACATACTGATACACTATATAGTCTTACAGTTTTGCAAACTACTTGCACCATTTAAACAATATATTGTGTATATACATCATTTAACATACCATATAAATATACTTTTACAGTTTTACAGACTACTTTACCATTTAAACAATGTATTATGAACAATTTACATCAACAACATCTAAACTATCGTTCTTAGTAGCTGTAAGAGTCCATTATACATAATTTATAATGAATAATTCCATTATTCATAATTTCGCCAATCTCCCAGGCTTAGACATCTAAGTAGTTTCTGAATTATTTCCCCATCATTCTGCAACAACATGCATCATATAACACATGTCAGTGTGCACTTAATTATGTCATAAGAAAATATTTCTAAGTGTGTAACTGCTAGATCACAAGATATCCAAATATTCAGAATTTTTGATGCTCATTAACAAATTTCTTTTCAGAAAGTTTATAGCAATTTCTACTCATCCAATAAGGTGGTGTGGCACAATATACCCATCTGTAAAGAGTCAGCTCAAATAATTGTTCTGATAAACAGTGGATCGTTGTTTGTTCTCTTTGCACAGTAAGTCTATGTTAAAGGCTATATTAGATCCTCGTGAGGCATGCAACAGTATATCAAAACCAGAGCCTTTAGGTGGTACAACTGTTTACGCCTCTAGTCTCAGCTACTCAGAAGGCTGAACCTGGGCAACAGAACAAGACTACGTTTCCTTAACACACACACACACACACACACACACACACACACACAGAGAACTTTTTTTTTTTTTTTTTTGAGATGGAGTCTCGGCTCACTGCAATCTCCGCAACCCAGGTTCAAGTGATTCTCCTGCCTCAGCCTCCCAAGTAGCTGGGACTACAGGTAGGTACCACCATGCCTGGCTAATTTTTTGTATTTTTAGTAGAGGCAGGGTTTCACCAGGTTAGCCAGGATGATCTTGATCTCCTGACCTCACAATTTGCTCACCTCAGCCTCCCAAAGTGCTGGGATTATAGACGTGAGCCACCACACCTGGCCAAAATCCAGAAGGTTTTAAGACATGAATACTGGGTTGAACATCTAGCTCTTTCCCTTACTAACTGTGTAAACCTGAGCAAGTTAATTTCGCTGAAACTTTGTCTCTTCAATTTTATAATGGAGATGGAAAGTATCTAAGATAAAATGTGATAATACACACATAAAGCCCCCTCTGCACAATGACTAACACGTATCAACATCGCTATTCCTAAAATAGCATTTGCTAACTTTATGGTCTCACTCCTTTACACATAACAAGGACTCCAAAACTTTTGTTTATATGAGAGAAATACTGTGTGTGTGTGTGTGTGTGTGTGTGTGTGTGTGTGTGTGTGTGTACACACACCTCAAATTAGAAAAAAAAAATTTTTAACTTTAAATTTTTTTTAATTTTACTATTTCATTTAAAAACAAAATGCATTATATGTTAATGTAAGTAATACGTTCTTGTTTAAAAAAAAAAAACTCTTACTTTTCAAAAGAATTGAGAAGGCACTGTTTTACAGTTTTGTCAATCTCTTTAATATGTACCTTAATATAAGACAGATTCTCATCTGCTTCTATATCCAATCTGTTGTGATATGTCATTTGTTTCAAGTATATAAAGAAAATCAAGGCTGATGGATGGAGATCCAGTAGTTGAAAAATGGTGAGTACTTTACTGGTTTTTATTCTCCTACATAATTGTGGACATTCTTCTTTGATGCTACACTAAAACTCAATGAACTGTCATTTCTTAAAGATTCGTTGCAACATAAAATCTGAAATATCAATGAACTTTTCATACTTTGTTACACTAAAATCCAATCACCTGTCTTGCACTTTGAATGAATCTTTATCCATGCATGTTTCCAAACATCATTTGCCAAATGGAAAATATTGGTTCACTGAGTTATGTAGCTCTTTCAAATGTTGACACGTTTCATTACACAGTATCTAAAAATATCACATTCTTTGTTATTTCAATTTTACTTTTTAAAAAGTCTTTAAGCTTTGGGAAGTTGCAAGCTCAAGGTAACAGATGCAAGACAGATACAAGTTTTCTAAAATTCTAATTCTAGATTCATTAATACTATAATTTTGTCAGTGGTAACAAATATTATCAAATGGTTTCCTTGTTTGTTTCAGAGAAAATATCTGCCAAATACCCACGTCTGAATAACCATAGTTTGTCAGTCATTCTTTCAAGTAAAAATGATGCTTCCTAAGGAAAAAAAAAAAAGGGTAGTTTACATTACAGCTCAAAAACTATTATGCAAGGCCAGACGCGGTGGCTCACGCCTGTAATCCCAGTACTTTGGAAGGCCAAGGCAGGCGAACCATGAGGTCAAGAGGTCGAGACCATCCTGGCCAACATGGTGAAACCCCATCTCTATTAAAATACAAAAAAATTTGCTGAGTTTGGGCATGCGCCTGTAATCCTAGCTACTCAGGAGGATGAGGCAGGAGGATCACCTGAACCCAGGAGGCAGAGGCTGCAGTGAGCTGAGTTCATATCACTGCATTCCAGCCTGGCAGCAGAAAGAGATTCTACTCAAAAAAAAAAAAAAAAAACTATTACACAAATGCTTTTCCATAAGATAACCATTATATTTCAGTATGCAGTGGATGTTAATATGCATACTTCGCATTGTGTCATGTAGGATATTTTTAAATGTGTGCTTGAGGGTCAAAATTTAATAAAATTATTTAATTTTTACTGCTTCTTCAAAGATGTTCTCAAGTGAAATCAGCTTTTTACATTTTTAATTGCAAGAACATGGCAGTGAAGAATACTTGACCAGTTTTGCACAAGTGCCTTGATTCCCATTAAGGTAGCAGCAATTTTAACCACCATTGCTTTTGCAATGAACAGTACAAACATCAACATGGTGAAAGGACAAATCATAAATACAGGAAAATCAGGTCTCAGAGCCCCTCTAAGGGTCCACAGATACCACTGATTTAAATATTTCCCATAGCAACATTGTAACTTCAGGCTCTAAGACTTAAATTAGGGACTCACATTAGCATTTTACGTCCCTATAAAACTACGTTTTTCTCCCTGAAACTCTCTGAATTCAGAAAAATTTCTTTCCTAACGATCCCGACGTTGCCAAGTTTATTCTGCTAGTCAAAATAATGTCCAAGTCCTAAGACCTCAGAGAACTGTTCTTTTTCTTATACATTCATCTGTCATCTCTCAGTATTACAAACAGAATGTCAGTCTTTTTCAAATGATCACACCAAGTGGGGTTTAGCCCTCTTTTGATTGCCACAAAGAGGGGAGATTTCTATCTTCTAGGCTGACCTGTGGACTGGTAACGCTTTCCAGCAAGACTGGCAAAGTCCTCTCTCTTTTCTCTGGTCCCTTCAAAGCAGTTATGGTATAAAATGCTTTGGTGGAAATACTTCAGACCTATTTAATAATAAGCATAACTGCTCTCTGCACTTAAGACAAAGATTTTACGTCAAAATCAAAAATCTCCCCTAGGTTTCCAAAGAGAAAGACTGGGGGCTGGGGGAGGTCAAACTACTTTTTAAGGTTACATAAGTGAATTCTCCGAGGAACTTTAGTAAAAAGACCTTAAAAAATTCCTGTTTCTCCGTCTCAAGTGGAAAGCATTAAAAACAAATCCTTAATTGTAAATAAAAGTCCTATAAAGTTGTATTCTACTGAAGACACACCTAATTTCAGATAATATATAAACAAGATACTAATTCAGATCACTGAAAAGGCTGACTCACATACATAGAATAGACCCCTTTGAGATATTAAAACTAAAAATTTGTGAATTTAATATTCTTTTTTCTATTTTTAAAGATCCCAAAAGGTCCACAATTTGTTATAATCAGTAATCTTTTTCCCTTTTTTTTTTTTTTTTTTTTTCTTGGAGACAAGGTCTCACTCTGTCACCCAGGCTGGAGTGCAGTGGCGCAATCTTGGCTCACTGCCTCCCCCAGGTTCAAGCGATTCTCAAGCCTCAGCCTCCGGAGTAGCTGGGATTACAGGCATGTGCCACCATGCCTAGCTAATTTCTGTATTTTTCCTAGAGATGAAGTTTCACTGTGTTGGCCAGGCTGCTCTCAAACTCCTGGCCTCAAGTGATCTGTCGGCCTTGGTCTCTCAAAGTGCTAGGATAACAGGCATGGGCCATCACGCCCAGCCTATCAGTAATTTTGTGTAGGCCACAAATTAAATTGAAAAGGTATGCAAGAGCAGTCAATTAGCTGGTCAATGAGCCCAGCCAACCACTCAACAACTACATCTCAATTTTGTCGTTTTGACCTCCTGTCGGATATTTATAGTTTCTTTGTTGCAAAATGTGTTCCAGAAAAGGAAGCACACTGCTAATTATGAAGTTAATAAAAAGTGAAAAGGTCTAAAACTCTGCTTTGGTTCCATCAGAAAAACAGATCAACTGAAAAGTAAAATGTTAAAACTTCATGATAGGTGACTATGACATGAATGACCTATCATGAGAAGAAAAAGAGATTTCTTCTACATTCAATAAGTGCTCTCGTTAGCGCTAAAGCCACCTAACACTGAAAATGGAAAGGTGAGTAATATACAAAGTAAACACAGGATTCTTGAGACCACCTCAGGTGCCTTGGTCCAAAAGCAACAAACAGATGGGGAAGGCAACAGTGTGCCTAGTGACCTAATCTTTACTATGAATGAAAGTTGATTTACAAATTTTAAAAGTTTCCTTCACCTGACCCAACATTAGTGGGTCATATTTCCCCTTGAGCTAAAGAAAGGACAAAAGGATTATAACCTCAAACAGGATGACAACACAGATGAAACCAGTCCATATTGTAATATCGTTTCTGCCTTTACTTCCAAAAGGGAACAGGTCTCATCACCATTCTTCATTGTTTCTTTGGTTTTAGAGTTTCAGATGAACTAAATGGTTAATATGCCTGCAGTAATGACAGTGTAAGCTAGAGTGGTTTTTTCTTTTTTTGTGGCAGAATAGTTTCAGAAATTAATTTGGTCCTGTATTTTACAGAGTCATTAAGTATGTAAAGAATTAACTGTAATATTGAGTAAAACTTTATTGTACTTTAGGGGAAATTTATGTCTACGGTTATCATGACTTAGAATATTCAAAAAGCTCTTGCAAATGGCAAGAGTGGTCCAGTCTCTTCTCCGGAATACAGAGAAGACAATACACTGAGGCTTTGAAGACATATCTTTCCTTGACTTTTCCATCACAAGATGTGAGACTGCTGAGGAGATTATCTTTTTCTTGTTAAATTTCTTCCAGACTAAACTGGAATTCAATGAACTGGCACCAAACACTAAGAATAAGACATGACAATTCATCCATTCAAAAGAGTAATTCTTTTTTGGATTGTGTCACAATCTAGGATATATCTATGAAAAGCACAAATAGTTTTACAAATTTCTTAGATTGCAGATAGTATGTCTGCAACCTTAAAAAAAATCGTAACATCTAAGACAGTTAATCAACTACAGTGTTTTAACTAATTTATCCAATCTTAGCACTGAAGGCAGGAATTCATAGGCATAACATGCCTGAGTAAGAGTTGAGAAAAACAGCCCCTAAAAGCTCTCTATTCCTACTAGAGGAAATAGCACATGTGTGTACCTGCAGAAACTTCTGAGTTGTCAAAGTAGGGCAGAAAGACTTGCAAATTTGCATCAAAAATTCTGAAGTGGGGGGAAAAAACTCTTAGAATATCTCTCGGCTTTCTCTCTCTGCTGCACAGTTTGTTTGCTTTTCAAAAAGTCAACTTGAACCATGAATACATTTCTACAAAAATGCAGTAGCTTCTGCCTAGGGGTGAAGATGTACAAGGTATTATTCATTTTCTTCCACCCCTTCCCTCCTTGCTATTTGTCAAGCAACCTGAGGATATTCTGACTCAATGAAAGGGTGACTTTGGGGTTCAACATGTACAAATTTCCTTGCTCTATTCTTTTGAGAAATGTTGGCCTTGAGAGAAGGCAGCACAAAGGAGGAAGGAGCTGGAAAACTACCAGTATATATCATACAAGTTAATATAATACACACAGGTCTAGTGCTGGAAACAGATGCAGTGATGTCCCTGGATCCATCCTGGCACAATGAATATGATTGGAAAACATGGCCTTCTCAGTGCAAGAGAACAGAACTGGCCTTCACCCAAGCTTTCTCTCAGCTGTTACTCTTCCTTACAATACTGTGAACAAAATAGCTATTACAGTTTGGTTTGTCCTTCTAACTAAGGAAACACATTTGTAGTTATTGTGATGACAGGCATACAAAGTTCCCAGGACACAAACTGCCAAAAATGAGATATATACTCTGTGAGCTAATCACATCCAACTAATATGAATATAAAATAATTCTGTGCTTTGTTTGAGGCTCTGGTGGACAATATCATAAAGAAGCTCTAAGGCCGGGCACAGTGGCTCACACCTGTAATCCCAGCACTATGCAAAGCAGAGGTGGGCGGATCGCAAATTCGAAAGTTCAAGACCAGCCTGGGCAAAACAGTGAAATCCTATTAAAATACAAAAAATTAGCTGGGCGTGCTGACGGGCGCCTGTAATCCCAGCTACATGGGAAGCTGAGGCGGGAGAATCACTTGAACCTGGGAGCGAGAGGTTGCAGTGAGCTGAGACTGTACCACTGCACTCCAATCTGGGTGACAGAGCAAGACTCCGTCTCCAAAAAAAAAAAAAAAAAAAAAAAAAAAAGAAGCTGTAATAGAGGAATAAGAACTGCTGACTATACCTGCAATGTGGTGGGGGGACACAAAAGCATCACACTGATACTATTTTATTCTTTTGGCATCCTAATTATCAAGAGTAAGAAACATAAAAAGCTTTCTCTAATTTTCCATTAATGTACTCTAATTTGATTTCTTGGTGAATAAAGGCCTTCAAGGAATTCCCACGCTCAACAGCTAATAAATTAATGGAGTTTTCTTTTATAACAAATGGTATTTCGAAGTACCTGTAAGTGTGGCCACGATGCCTCAAGGGTAGGTTCATCTTCTTCTGGATCAAATTCATTGCTGTCACTAGGAGGGAGAGTTCTGAATATATTGCAAGATACCTAAAAATAAACAAGCAGCAGAGTTAACGGGAAGCACCTTCTGTGCAGTTTTACACAAGGTCTTTGGAACCGAGCCGAGGGGAACCCAAATAACAGTGCACAAGGAACATCCCCAACTAGAAAAAACTCCTTCTAGAGACTCTGAGGCTGGGACCACCTGCAGGCAAGCTGCAAAGCAGCAAAGCAGCACCATCATACCTTCTTGAACACTATTCATCATCCTTATTTGGCCCTTCCCACCCTAGGTCCCCATGATTTTATACCTCTCATCAAAGCCTGCTCTTGGTTACTTACCAGTCAAGCATGTTTCTGATTAACCAACTGACACTAAGAAATAAATAACTGCTAATGGGGTTCATGTGCTTCCCTTATCAGACTTAGCCACTACTTGCAAACTTATGGTTGAAATAATAATGAAATTTCAGGCTAAGCATGGTGGCTCATGCCTATAATCCCAGCACTTTGGGAGGCCAAAGTGGGTGGATCACAAGGTCAGGAGATCGAGGCCATCCGGCCAACATGGTGAAACCCCGTTTGTACTAAAAATACAAAAATTAGCCGGGCGTGCTGACAGGCGCCTATAATCCCAGCTGTTGGGAGACTGAGGCAAGAGAATCGCTTGTACCTGCGAGGTGGAGGTTGCAGTGAGCTGAGATCGCACCACCGCACTCCAGCCTGACAACAGAGCGAGACTCTACCTCAAAAAAAGAAAAAGAAAAAGAAATGTTAGGCTTTTGTAATGACCTTTAAAATATTCCTTATGTATCCTCAATAACTTGGTTTACAAAATACTAATGATCCTTAGAATAAATATATCTGTGATATAAACCTTCATAAACTAGGTATTCCTTAACCATAGGCAAGACCCAAATTAAACGATGGCTGTTCAAAACATTGCCATGAGTAGGTAACTGTTGAAACTGGGTGATGAAGAGATGAGAATTCATTATACTGTCTATTACTTCTGTATATGTTACAAGATTTTCGGTTTTTTTTTTTTTTTGAGACAGTCTCACTCTGTCACCCTGGCTGAAGTGCAGTGATGCAATCTCAGCTCACAGCCACCTCCGCCTCCCAGGTTCAACTGATTCTCTTGCCTCAGCCTCCCGATTAGCTGGGATTACAGGCGCATGCCATCACATTTGGCTAATTTTTTATCTTTAAGCAGAAACAAGGTTTCACCATGTTGATCAGGCTAGTCTCGAACTCCTGACATCAAGTGACCTGCCCACTTTAGCCTCCCAAAGTGCTGGGATTACAAGTGTGAGCCACCACACATGGCCTATTAGAAGATTTGCATAGTAAAATGTTTGTTTTAAATGTTGTTGGTACTAGTCTCAGGGTTCCTTTTCAGCTTGTTTCTCGCCCCACTCACCCATTCATCTTTCTCCTAATGACCCAAACGTATCCTCAGATCTGAAGAATAAGACAGGGAGGGGCAGGGGAACATGCATAAAAAGTGAGAGGGAAAAAGGAAGAGATACTGCATCAGAGGCCTTTGCTGGCCTTCCTATGTAATGCAGAAAATACTGAGCTATAAAATGCTGCTCTGAAAGAAAAGAAGAAAGGCTTTAGGGTCCCCATATAATCTGAATGTGTTTATTCATCCAATAAATACTTATTAAGTGCCTATTATGTGCACACACTGTTCTAGGCACTTGGAAAACAGTAGTGAACAAAGCAGAGAAAAATCCATGCCCTCATGGAACTTATATTCTAGTTAAAGTCACAATTATCCCCATTTCCTAGCTACAGAAACAGCTCAGATGTGTAAGCTATGGGAAGGAGATTCAATTTTATTTTACTGCAATGGGAGGCCATTAGTAAATCTTAAAACAGAGAAGTGGCATGATCTGATTTTTGCTTAAAAAAAGTCACTCTAACAGCTATGTATAGAAGAGGCAGGAAGAGGACAAGATAGAAGGCTGTGAATGTGACAGGGAATGATGCTGGCTTGGCAAGGATGGTAGGGAAGACAGACAGAAATAGACTGATTCAAAAAGGTAGTGCTTTGCTGCTGGCTTGGATATACGATGTGAAAGAAAGAATCAAGGACAAGACATAGATCTGAGGCCATTAAATGAATACAGAGATTACTGGGAAAAGGAAAAGTTTCTTTCTTTGCTTGCTTCTTTTAGCAGAGAGATCCAGGGATCTAGTTAGAGGTATATTAAAGGAGCAATGTCTAGGAGGCAATTAGAAGTTGGACCTCTGAGCTGGACAGGTCAGAACCAGAGACATGTAAGACTCAGCAGCATATAGATAATACTTAAAGCCATGGGACCAATGAGAGCACCTTTGAAAGGAGTAAACAAAAAGAAGAGAAAGGGTCCCTGGGCACTCAATATTTAGAAATTAGGTAGAAGAAGAAGAGCCAAGAAGAGCAAATGAAAAGCAGCAGAGGATAATAGAAAAGAACTAGGGTTTAGGATCTCAGAAGCTAAGAAAGAATAGTGTTTTAAGGAAGAAGTCAAGAGCAGCAAATGCTGTCCAGAGGTTGGCTAAGATGAGCACAGAGCAGCATCCATTGGACTTGGCAGTCCTATGCAGTGTATACTACTATGATCTCTAATTTACCATTGAGGAAATAGAAGCATGGGTGTTAAGCTCTAGTTACAATTAGTACCAAAACTGGACCCAGGCTGTCAGGATCCTCAGTATTCTTTCTAGAAGAGAAGGTAGACCAACTTATTTGTTAGCTTAGATGATAGAAAAAAATGATCATATTACAATATGCTTTTGTTATGGCTAATGACAGTACCCACGTTTCTATTATTTTGTTTTTGTCCCAGTGATTACTAGAAATTATTTTTATGAAGAAATAAGTGACTTTTCAGGTAAGTATCAACCTGTGATTTCCCTTCAACCAGCCAGCCATAAGGTTCCCTTCAACCAGCCAGCCATAAGGTAATTGACAGGGCAAAGGTTCTTTAATTACTCAACTTTGAATCTTCATTAAACTATACATGTATTTCAAAAACTGAGTCTTCATCCCAACTAAGTCATTTATATGTACTGCATTCTGTAACACGTGTTTTTCCTCTCGCAAGACATGAAAGTAAACCATGAAAGGGGAAAAAATGGGGCTTCTCTATAGTAAAAAACCTGAGTAAAGAAACGGAAACTCCTCTTTCTTTGTATTCTTGGACATATAAACTCTCTTACAGTGTCCACTGCACACTGCAGCAACTATCTGTTTACGCATTTGTCTCTCCCTGCTAATTAATAGTTAATCAAGAACATACAACACATTTGTCTTCCAAGCATATACTGAGCATTTAATAAATATCCACAAAAAATTGGATATATTAATAAAGCTGTGTATTGTGGTTTTGCTTTAAACAAATTTCAAATTTTTCCAGGCGACTTGAATAAATTTAACTTATTTCTAAGGATGTTTATACCTCTACAGTGTTCTAATCTTCTGACTTGGTCAAAACTTCCTCTCTCACAGCAAAAGAAGGTCAAGTTGGGTAAATGATCCAAAAGGCAGGTAGTTCTACAAGCATGTATATCTCATTTAGCTACACATTGTCATTTCTTGAGATGGAGTCTCACTCTGTCACCCAGGCTGGAGTGCAGTGGCGCGATCTTGGCTCACTGCAACCTCCACCTCCCAGGTTCAAGCAATTCTCTGCCTCAACCTCTCGAGTAGCTGGGATTACAGGCACCTGCCACCACGCCTAGCAAATCTGTGTATTTTTAGTAGAGATGAGGTTTTGCCATCTTGGCCAGGCTGCCCTTGAACTCCTGACCACATGATCCACCTGCCTCGCTCTCCCAAAGTGCTGGGATTACAGGTGTGAGCCACCGCACCCAGCCCTGTTATGCTTTATTTAGTTTACTTCTAAACATTCACCAGATGAGGAATGAGGAAGCATATGTCTGCTGGGTTCAACAATTCAATGCTGACTGAATTGGTTAAGTAGTTATCTACCACAATGAGAAAGAATGGCAAAGCATAGCAAGTGTCATGGAAATGGCCAAACCTCTGACCCAGCCTGGAACATACTAAGTACTTACTAAAAATGTTATAAATGAACCATTACTCCCATCCTTAAGAATTTGTCCTGAGAAACTAATTGAAGACAAGAGTGAAAAAGCTACTTAAAGCTGTTACTTGCAACCTCTCCAAAAAATGTAAAACTGGAAATAGCCTTATGTCCAGCATCAGAGAGGTGTATCAACTCACTGGAATACTGTGCAGCATTAAAGATGATGGCTACATGGGAGCACCAAAAAAAAAGTTTATAAATAAAGATCTAGGTGGAAAGGCAATTGAAAATTGTGTGATTATAAGGATAAGAATTAAGTGTTAACATTACATTTTAAATTGAAATTAAAAGCTTTTAAATTGAAATTAAAAGCTGTGGCCGGGCCGGGCGCGGTGGCTCAAGCCTGTAATCCCAGCACTTTGGGAGGCCGAGGCGGGTGGATCACGAGGTCCAGAGATCGAGACCATCCTGGTCAACATGGTGAAACCCCGTCTCTACTAAAAAATACAAAAAACTAGCTGGGCGTGGTGGTGCGTGCCTGTAATCCCAGCTACTCAGGAGGCTGAGGCAGGAGAATTGCCTGAACCCAGGAGGCGGAGGTTGCGGTGAGCCGAGATCGCACCATTGCACTCCAGCCTGGGTAACAAGAGCGAAACTCCGTCTCAAAAAAAAAAAAAAGCTGTGGCCGGGCACGGTGGCTCCAGCCTGTAATCCCAGCACTTTGGGAGGCCGAGGCGGGTGGATCACGAGGTCGAGAGATCGAGACTATTGTGGTCAACAAGGTGAAACCCCGTCTCTACTAAAAATACAAAAAATTAGCTGGGCATGGTGGTGTGTGCCTGTAATCCCAGCTACTCAGGAGGCTGAGACAGGAGAATTGCTTGAACCCAGGAGGCGGAGGTTGCGGTGAGCCGAGATCGCGCCATTGCACTCCAGCCTGGGTAACAAGAGCTAAACTCCATCTCAAAAAAAAAAAAAAAGCTGTATTAAAGCAAGAGGACTGTG